ATCGGAAGAATATTTAATTGGAAAAGTGCTTGCATATCGATGTTTATTCTGGCACTATTCACAATTGCTAAGTCATGGAACCAACTCAAATTCCTATGAACAGATGAATGGATAGAAAAACTGTGGCACATATACTCTATGGAATATTATTTGACCATAAAAAATGACAAAATCCAGGCTTTTGAAAGGAAGTGGATGAATATGGAAGATTTACTGCTGAGTGAATCAAGCCAGGTTATGAAGGAGAGACATTGTATGTCCCCACTTAATATATACTGAGTGTCTGCACTCTGTGACTGAAACCGATTGACTAAAGGATATAGAAACACAGTATTTGAATGTAAATACCAGATATAGAGTGTGTGAAAGAGGAGGGTCTGAGTAAGGACATTTAGAAGAAAAATAGGGAGGCAAAGCATTAATGGGACAAAGAAATGTGGTATTAACTGTTGAAGATATTTTATAGTTTTTATCAACTGAACTAGGGAGAAATGTTCACCTGTTGAATTATTCATTTTGTAAGCTAAATAATGTGATTGAATGTATAAAAGAAAGTGAAATTTTAAAAATGTGAAAAAAATGCATAAACGCTCTGTGGTTTGTTAAACTTATGAATGCCAGCTATTGTAGTAAGATTGAATGATGTTACTTTAGGAGAAATGATGGCAACATACATGAATTCAGTGTGAGGAAATTTCAAACCTCATAGCTTCCTTTAAAATTTCCTTTTTATGGGAACCAGCAGTTAGCATAATGGCTATGTCACTGGACTCCCACGTAGTCGACCGCGGTTCGTGTCCTGGACCCGGTGGCTTAGAACTCATGCCGGGCACATGTGCATGCGTGCCCAAGATCCTGAGAGGAGAATGGAGGAGAAAGGATTGTAGTGTGACCTTCTCCCCTGGGAGGTGATTTCTCGCTTTCTGTCTCTATGTCTCTCGCTGTCGGTCTGGCAAGCGCATGCACCCTATAGTGAAAACCTCTCAAAAAAAAAAAAATCCTTTTTATCACAGTAGAGTCACCATACTTTTTTAAGTCTTCCAGTGATTGTCTATTTTGCTCCACCCATGCAATTGTTTTAGCCCTTTCATGTAGTCCTTTCCAGCTTAATCTCTTCCTGGAAATACATATTTTAGTTTGCACTGTTTTTCTCCCCCTCCCTTTTTTTTTTTTTTTGTTAATTGCCACAGAGTGTGTGCACTTGCAAGAGAGTGAGAAGCTCTCCTTAACCGAGTATGGCTACACCACAACCCCTTTCTCTCAATTTGCTCATCCTGCCGGGATATTGGCACTACCGGCACATGGACCCAGTGCACTTTCCAGTCAATAAACCCAGGATTCAAACAACAGTCAGCCATATGGGATCAAATTTCCCATGCAAGGCACTTAAACACTGCACTCAACATTTCCTAACTCATTCTGTCTCTTAGGTGCATCCCATATTTGACCACAAAGAATACAGGTTGAAAGCTTTTAGTTTGTGAATTGACTTGAGACTGCACATCTGTTTTTATGGCAAAAATCCATGCTGTGCCATATTTCATTTCCATCTGTTCTTTTGTGAACACTGTATTTTAATTATTTTTATTGTTTATGCACGAACTCTTTTTAAAGGTGTCTTCTCAATACTAATGCTCTTTTCTACTGTCTTTTCTCCTTAACCTTTGGCAACCTCACTTTATAAGTCAACCATCCGAAGACATTGTGTTTACGAACCTTAACGTGACCACTTAGTAGATACCATGTCCTACAACTCCGAATATGGGATTTATGTAACAATGGCTGTATGAGTATGTGTGTGTTATGCCTCAATGCATAAGTGTTCTAATTTTACAATGAAGATAATGAGGATTTGTGAAATTTTGAGACTACAGAGTCTCTACAATTACAGAGTTAGTATGAGGGAGACTCAAGATTTGAAATCTGGTTTTAATCTAATCAATCATCTGTATTTTCAACCAAATCACTTTCGATGTGTATAGATGTGTGAAAATAAAGAAGATTGTAGGGGAAAACGTTTTAAATAAAAATTGCATCTTATTGGTTCTATTTCACCATTTTTTAAAGTTTCAAGAAGAGACAACTCACTATTCTGTTTATTTCTTTACCTTCAATGAGAGGTTACCATGTAGGAAACAAGATAAAATTACCAGCTTATAAATCAAAGTATTGTCTATACTGTTTAATCTTTTTTAGAGGGTCAGCATGAAGAGGTTGCATTAGTCTCCTCTAACTCAATACTTATAGAAATTTTGACACACTATCTTCACTTCAGTGTTTTAGATAAATGTTAAAAATATCTATTTCTCTGTTCAAAAAACCAGAGTATAAGTCATGCTTTAAATGAATATGCTTTTTACTAAAAATGTGTATTGAATATAGAAGCTTACCTTATACTTTAAAAATAATTGAAAGTTAATTCTGAATACTGGCTTGAAATCAGAAATTATTTCGTGGATCAATTCTTTTAAAGAAGCTTTCTCTCAAGGCAGTGGTCAATGGTTCCATGGTCTCTAAGCAAGAAGGGGAATAAGGAGGAAAGAACATTAACATAGGTTCAAGTCCTAAATCTATGTATTCTTTTTATGGCACAAAGAAGTCACACATATCCTCTTTAATGGTCAAGTAAACATAATAAAATTACATCTCCTATGCAATCAACAGAATTCTGTTTATAAGTAGCAACTAGAGAAAGTCTAAAAATTAACTCACTGAGGGGTTATTTTTTTCAAATTACTCAATGTAATTTTTATTTTGGAGTGCTTTCTTGGCCTTGATTGTAGGCTCATAGGAAATTCTTAAACCAGGGAAAGCATCATATGCATGAATGACAATTAACATTCGAATAAACAAATTATAATTAAAGGGGCCAGGACTGTCTTATCCCTTTAAAATGAAGACATCTGGAATCATGGTGAGTTTTAGAAGTTAATGCACTGAGTGAATGAATTATAGAGACATGGATATCTCAAGGGATGTCCCCCATGAGAGTATCTATAGTTCCTTGTCCCACTTTCTTAGAGGAGAAATTTAAATTGCCTGTGGGGACCAATTTGAAAATTTTGAGTGTGTGTATATGTTTTTGTATTACTTGCTATTGTAGTT